GCTCGAGACATCCTCCTGAACGGCTTCAGTATTCCCACCTTGGTCGTCCACTACTAAAGAGCATTCACAGCCTGCTTCATGGACTGAGTTCCACTTTCTCTTTTGCTCTTCTGGACGATGAGGATGTGGTTACCACTGTCCCCAGCCAGTCAGTCGTCTGCTGCCAGCCTGGTCCATGTCCGGGGACGTACATAGGATCAGGGGGGGAAAATGTAACCCGGGTCCCTAGCTGAAGCCTCATCCTGCCCCGCTTTATTTTGGCAGGCCCGTTTCCCATATAGCAGCCGCTCCCCGCGGCTCTCTCTCTCTCTCTCTCTCTCACTCTCACTCTCAGCTTGAATTGATAGCTGTCAGCAACCCCTCACGTTGCTATCTGTTGTGGCGCTGTTTGAAGACTCTTCAAACCAGAGAAACGGAAAATTAACATCCACATTTGGTCCTGCGGACCCATCCGTCTTTGATCCGTCCCTTTCTCTACTTATTGGTGAGTCGCGAAATTAAGTATTTTCCCTGTTTTTGTTTAAGCATGAAGCGCAATCTCCGGCTAACCTTTAGCTATGTTTAATGCTAACGCAGCGTAGAGCTACAGCCGGTTGCTGCGTGTATTTCTGCTCTTTTCTCTTTGAGACTCGTTTTATTTGACAAGGTAGTCCAACCGAACTTTAGGCTACACTCATATATGTTAGAATATTGCATCAAACTCAAACATTAAGTTGTTTAAGGCGTGTTTTGATTACTTTTGAATACGAATGCCCACGCGGCCATATATGTTTTGAACAGAATTCAGACTCCGTCTGAATGAATGAGATCTGTTGCGCAACACTATTATTATTGAATTGGATTGAGTACCTCGAGTACAATGTATATTTAAAGTGCACTTTACATTGAATACACACTTTAATACACACTTTACATTTAACACTCACACATTTACATTCACAATGTAATACTTGAATGAAGCTTCATATTTATTTTTTCCTACTTTATTATGCGGTTCATATTGAATGTATTTGATGTATTGCTAGTCTTTTAGCTTTCTAATGTTATCTAGTATTTATTTATGTTGTACCTATTTAAAGTGCTGCTAACTCTGGTACTTAACTAATGGTTTTTTCTTTTTCCTGACTTGTGTTTTAGGTCAGTTTTTTTTGTGTGTGTACTTCTTTGACCTTTTCTTCGATGGCGAGCTACCCAACCTCCGCTGTATCGCGGTAGGACACCTTTTGTTTTTTGTGAACCTGGATGTGAACATATGGACCTTTTAATGAACTGAACTCTAAAGAAGAGCAATTGAACTGTGATACCAAGACCTGGTGAACATTCCTGTTTTTTTTTTTTTTAGTTTCCCTCGACTTGGATTGACTTTGATTTTGGTTTTTGGTTTGAGTTATAATTAATAGATAATATAATATATTCCATACATATTATATTATAATATTAATTATTCCTGGTTATTTATAATATAAAGAAAGCATTAATCAATACCTGTTATAATATACCTATTGTATTAGTAATATTTATTATACCCTGCCAATTAATTGTTACACCTTATAATTATACCATAACTGATTATCATATATGCAAATTACCTTTGACAAACTTCAATATATACAAACTGAAACCACTACTACTCATTCTGTGTCTCTTATTCACCCGCTTTGGCTCCTGTAGGCGAACCTGGTCTGAAAGCCTGCTCTCTATCTTCGGCCCAGTCAGATCCTTAGCCCAAGGCGTTACATGTCCATAGGACAACAATCAGTCGTGCACTGCACAAATCTGGCCTTTATGGAAGAGTGGCAAGAAGAAAGCCATTTCTCAAAGATATCCATAAAAATTCTTGTTTAAAGTTTGCCACAAGCCACCTGGGAGACACACCAAACATGTGGAAGAAGGTGCTCTGGTCAGATGAAACCAAAAACGTTTTGGCCACAATGCAAAACGATATGTTTGGCGTAAAAGCAACACAGCTCATCACCCTGAACACACCATCCCCACTGTCAAACATGGTGGGGGCAGCATCATGCTTTGGGCCTGCTTTTCTTCAGCAGGGACAGGGAAAATGGCTGAGATTGATGGGAAGATGGATGGAGCCAAATACAGGACCATTCTGGAAGAAAACCTGTTGGAGTCTGCAAAAGACCTGATACTGGGACGGAGATTTATCTTCCAACAGGACAATGATCCAAAACATAAAGCCAAATCTACAATGGAATGGTTCACAAATAGACGTATCCAGGTGTTAGAATGGCCAAGTCAAAGTCCAGACCTGAATCCAATCGAGAATCTGTGGAAAGAGCTGAAGACTGCTGTTCACAAACGCTCTCCATCCAACCTCACTGAGCTCGAGCTGTTTTGCAAGGAAGAGTGGGAAAGAATTCCAGTCTCTCTTGTAGCAAAAGGTGGCGCTACAAAGTATTAGCGCAAGGGGGCCGAATAATATTGCACGCCCCACTTTTCAGTTTTTTATATGTTAAAAAAGTATAAATTATCCAATAAATTTTGTTCCACTTCACGATTGTGTCCCACTTGTTGTTGATTCTTGACAAAAAATGTAATCTTTATATCTTTATGTTTGAAGCCTGAAATGTGGCGAAATGTTGAAAGGTTCAAGGGGGCTGAATACTTTCGCAAGGCACTGTAAGTCCACCAGAAAATGTTCAATGTTGTAGTGTAGCCCCAGGTCTCTCCGACATGTCTGTCCATTCAGATCAGATCATTGGCTCATGCTCGCACCATGGACGCCCTTAACATTAGCAGAAGTGAGACGTTCTGGTCAGCTATGGTGTCTCTATGGTCTCCCCCTTGCAGGTCTCTCTTTCGTCTCTCTGGTCTTTCTGTCTCTGGTCTCTCTATTCTAGTCTCTCTCTGGTATCTCTCTTTCACTTTCTAGTCTCTTTCTTCTGGTCCCTTTCTTTGGTCTCTCTCTTTTGCAGGTCTCTGTCTTGTCTCTCTGGCCTCTCTCTTTCTCTCCCAGGTCTCTCTCTCTCTGTTCTCTCGTTCTTCTGGTCTTTCTCTCTATTCTCTCCCTGGTCTCTCTTCTGGGCTCTCTCTTGCAGATCTATCGCTCTAGTCTCTCTGGTCTCGTTCTCTGGTCTCTCTAGTCTCTCTAGTTTCTCTCTCTCTCTGGTCTGTCTTCTGGTCTCTCTCTTGCAGATATATCTCTCTAGTCTCTCTGGTCTCTATCTGGTCTCTCTCTTGTCTCTCTGGTCTCTTTCTCTGGTCTCTCTAGTCTCTCTGGTCTCTCTCTGGTCTCTCTCTGGTCTTTTGCAGATCTATCTCTCTAGTTAGTTAGTTAGTTAGTTATTTATTTAAAAGGACAACGGACAGGTACATTAAAAAGATGGCTGCCCCAGATTTAGCACAATGCTAATTTCCATCTGTAGTCCTTATACAATCAAAAATACAATTAAAATACATAGCAGAGTTAATTACAATACAAAACATAGACAATAAACATGCAATATATAGTAAAAGTGCAGATGAAAAGTGCCAGTTGCGTTCATAAAGTGCAGAATGATAAAGTGCAACAGTTTTCATAATTATTTAGTAGCTATACATACTTAGCACATAGATACAATAGTTTTTAACACTAATAATGTGGTGATGTGGTGGCCATCAGACGATACCCGCGAGGGTAACACCTGATGGCCAAGTATCCATCTGGTACTTTTAGTGCGAGCAGGACTGTTGATCTAAAAGCCAGTCTTTAACTGCCCGTGAAAAACTGTGGAAATCTGCATTGTTCTTTAGATTGTCTGGGAGCCCATTCCATTCTTTAGTGGCTTTGTAGGAAAAGGCTGATTGAGAGAAGGCAGACTTTCTCTTAGGAACATTGCAGTCACCCCTGGACACAGATCTTAATGCTCTGTTGGTTAGCTGTGAGCGAAGCTGTACATATGTTTTTAGGGGGGGTGGGGCAGTATCATTAAGAATCTTATGAACCAAGCGTACATCGGAATACCTAATCAGATTGTCAAAGCTTAGTATGCTGTATTTTTCAAGTATATTGCAGTGATGGTACCGGCGAGGCTTTTTATCCAGGACTTTCAAAGCCTGGTTATACAACGATCTAAGGGGGTTTAAAACCGTTGTTTTAGCTTGAGACCATGAAGACACACAATACATGATATGAGATATAATCATTGCATTAAGATATGATTTAGCCGCTTCCAATGACAAAGAGCTCCTGATGTGCTGGAAGTCTAGTCTCTCTGGTCTCTCTGGTCTTGTTCTCTGGTCTCTCTAGTCCCTCTCTCTCTCTGGTCTCTCTTCTGGTCTCTCTTCTGGTCTCTCTTTTGTCTCTCTGGTCTCTCTGGTCTTTTTCTCTGGTCTCTTTCTAAGGTCTCTCTCTCTGGTCTCTCTAGTCTCTCTGGTCTCTCTCTGGTCTCTCTAGTCTCTCTCTCTGGTCTCTCTCTCTGGTCTCTCCTCTAGTCTCACTCTCTCTGGTCTCTTTCTCTAGTCTCTCTCTCTGGTCTCTCTCTCTGGTCTCTCTCTGGTCTCTCTAGTCTCTCTCTCTGGTCTCTCTCTCTGGTCTCTCTCTCTGGTCTCTCTCTGGTCTCTCTCTGGTCTCTCCTCTAGTCTCACTCTCTCTGGTCTCTTTCTCTAGTCTCTCTCTCTGGTCTCTCCTCTAGTCTCACTCTCTCTGGTCTCTTTCTCTAGTCTCTCTCTCTGGTCTCTCCTCTGGTCTCTCTCTCTCTCTGATCTCTCCAGCTCTGGTTCTCCCGATCTTGTGCAGTAGGTGTGCAGTGGTTCTACTTCCTCACAGGGGATTCATATTGAGAATAGAGTACAAAAACCATCAATACAGATATGGTAGCTCTATCTTGATAAAAAGATTGGTTGTATTGATTGTAGCCGTGACATAGAGTGGATCTCTTATATCTTGAAGCTGTGAGTTGTTATCAGTGGTGGCTTCCTTCATTTTCTCGCGCTCTTAGTGATTCCCAAGTCATTCTTTTTACTCTAGATCTTGAGTGTTAGTTTTGTTCTTTGTCCTTCAGCATTTGGTGTGGATCCTTGGACTGAAGCCTGCTGTGGGCGGGGCCTTAAAACCTGGTCGAGCTGTGGAAGGTCCCAGTACGGTACGTGTCTCCATCCGCTTTAGGAGACCCAGTGTTGGATCAGAGTAACAAACACAATGTTGATCTCACATTAGAGTGGTCCATCTCTATGTCACGGTTCACCTTTTCCTGTATATAAAATAAATAAATAATGGACCTTTATTTCACCGGGAAAGTCCAATTGAGATTTAGAACCTCTTTTTCAATAGGCAGCAAAAGTTACACACAATTTCTTACAATTACAGATTATAAAAAACATCATATAACTGCTAGTATAACATGACAATTTAATGTATTTAAAATCAGATGATGCATGTTGTGACTTGTCTGCCCTATGGTAATTAGTTCAGGACTATTGTGGTTTCTCTCTGGTCTCTCCCTGGTTTCTCTCTGGTCTCTCTCTGGTCTCTCTCTGGTCTTTCTTTGGTCTCTCTCTGGTATTTCCCTCTGGTCTCTCTATTGTCTCTCAATGGTCTCTATGGTCTCTACTGTCTCTCTCTCCCTGGTCTCTCTCCCTGGTCTCTTCCTGGTCTCTCTCTGGTCTCTCTCCCTGGTCTCTCCCTGGTCTCTCTCTGGTCTCCCTGGTCTCTCTCTGGTCTCTCTCTGGTCTCTCCCTGGTCTCTGGTCTCCCTCTGGTCTCTCTATTGTCTCTTCTCTGGTATTTCCCTCTGGTCTTTCTATTTTCTCTCAATGGTCTCTACTGTTTCTCTCTCTCTGGTCTCGCTCTGCTCTCTCTCTGCTCTCGCTCTGGTCTCTCTCTGCTCTCTCGCTCTGGTCTCTCTCTGCTCTCTCTATCTGGCCTCTCTCTGGTCTCTCTCTGGTCTCTCTGCTCTCCCTCTGCTCTCTCTCTGGTCTCTCTCTGCTCTCTCGCTCTGGTCTCTCTCTGCTCTCTCTCTCTGCTCTCTCTCTGCTCTCTCTCTGGTCTCTCTCTGCTCTCTCGCTCTGGTCTCTCTCTGCTCTCTCTCTCTGCTCTCTCTCTGGTCTCTCTCTGCTCTCTCTCTGGTCTCTCTCTGCTCTCTCACTCTGGTCTCTCTCTGCTCTCTCTATCTGGCCTCTCTCTGGTCTCTCTCTGGTCTCTCTCTGCTCTCTCTCTCTGCTCTCTCTCTGGTCTCTCTCTGCTCTCTCTCTCTGCTCTCTCTCTGCTCTCTCTCTGGTCTCTCTCTGCTCTCTCGCTCTGGTCTCTCTCTGCTCTCTCTCTCTGCTCTCTCTCTGGTCTCTCTCTGCTCTCTCTCTGGTCTCTCTCTGCTCTCTCTATCTGGCCTCTCTCTGGCCTCTCTCTGGTCTCTCTGGTCTCTCTCTGCTCTCTCTCTCTGCTCTCTCTCTGGTCTCTCTCTGCTCTCTCTCTCTGGTCTCTCTATTGTCTCTTATCGGTCTCTCTCTAGTCTCTCTAGTGTCTCCCTGTCTCTCTCTCTCTGATCTTAAAACATACAGCTGCTCCTTCAAGAACTTCACTTATTCCCAGTAAATTTTAGAACACATCACCATGGCGATAAATCAGGGACCAGCTACAACATGGAACATCTATAATGCCTGTATTATTCTTCCAGGTTCTGACGACCGCAGTCATGACGGACCTCCCTGTGATCTCCAACATCCTCTCCAGACTCTTCGAGAGCTCACAGTACGAGACACACAACATCTGAGTTTGTTTTGTTGTCATTCTTCTGGTTAAATAAACCATTCTTCCTTCTTTGCGTCTGTAGATACCTGGACGACGTGTCTCTGCATCACCTGATCAACGCCCTCTGCTCTCTCTCTCTGGAGGCGATGGAAATGGCCTATGGAAACAACAAGGTACAGAACCAGGATAAAAACGCAGCTGAGAGAACACATGTTAATAAAGCCTATAGCCATAATCTGGTAACCGTGATAAATGTCAAAAAAACAATCTGGTCTCTATATTTCTGGTCTCTCTCTCTCTCTCTGGTCTCTCTCTGGTCTCACTCTGGTCACTTTTTGGTTTCTCTACTCTCTCTCTCTGCTCTCTTTCTCTCTCTCTCTCAATAAGGTCTCTCTCTCTGCTGTCTCTCTCGCTGCTCTCTGGTCTCTCTCACTGGTCTTTCTCTGATCTATATTTGGTATTGCTTTCTCTGGTGTATTTCTGGCATCTTTGGTGTCTCTCTCTCTAATCTCTCCGTCTCTGGCCTCTCTCTCCAGTGTTGGAGATCACAGGAAGGTCCGTCATGACTGCGGTCGTCTCTCTAGTCTGCTCTCACTCTGGTCTCTCTCTGTTCTCTCTCTGCTCATCTCTCTCTCTGGTCTCTCTCTCTCTCTCTCTGATCTCTCTCTCTCTCTATGGTCCCTCTCTCTGGTCTCCTCTGGCCTTGAACAGTGATTAGTTTCCCAGATTATGAAGCAAACACCCGTAATCATCTGGTTAGAGATGGGCTTCATATGAAAATATTAAAAGCACATGATTGCATTCACGTGTTTCCATGGCAACCACAAGTATCGGGTTGAGTTGGTACGATGCTTATGGTAGACATTCACACCTGGGCCTAAAACCTTATATCTTTAGTGTAAAAGACAGAAAAACTGGACCCTGTTTTCCACATTTGTCACACTGGTCTCTCCCTCTCTCTCTCCCTCTTTCTCCAGGAGCCATCTTTGTTTGCCGTGGCCAAACTCCTGGAGACCGGTTTGGTGAACATGGACCGCATCGAGATCCTGTGGAGGCCGCTGACCGGGCATCTACTCGAGGTTTGTACCTTTTATACTTATTTCAATCCAGTTCATTCTAACTCTACACATACGAGCACTGGAAGACCTTCAAAGAGCTCCTCTTCTGCTGCATACTATAGTTTACTCTCTATTAGGCTCTTTTTAATGCAATTATCTAGGATTTGAATACCTTTTATTCTTGTTTTGTTAAGCACTTTGTGTATGTTTAGCACTTAGTGTATGAACTATGCTTTACAAATAGACTTGCCGGATATAGCCGATTAAATAAGAACTGATTTCAAAGTATAACCTAAAATATGCAATATACTCCGGCCCGCGGGCTAATTGCGGCCCATTTTATGTGGCCCTCTGCTGCTCACACAAAGTCGCCGTTGAGGCACTTTGACAGTGTCATCCAACCAACTTCAGCTCCACCAATACAGTCCTGCTATACCTTGTTGTTAATCTCTGTCCCTCTGGAATCCATTCGTTGTCTCGTTATTTACTGACATTTGTTTTACGATCGTGTCACAACATTCCTCATAAAATCTCGTTGTGTTGTGAATCAAAAGGACGTATTATAACCCATTTTAAATTCCAGAATCCAGTCAATCCGGCTCCAATCCAGTTTTATTAAATTCAGGTCGAGTCTGATGGACTAAAGTGGCCCTCTTACTGAATAGTTTGGACACCCCTGTCCTAAAACAATACAATAATTATAACCGACAGTATTCTTGTTCCTCGTCTGTGTATTTTGGTGGTTTCTTTACACTTTCTCCTCTGTCTTTCTTGCCTCCTGCCTGTCTGCAGAAGGTAAGCCTGGATCTTTATTCTGTATTATTATTATATTATTGTTGTTCTTTTTCCAGTCTGTTCCCATCAGTGAAGCCTTTTATAAATTTAGTTTCAATGATATAAACAGTTAATGTCGCAGTGTGTATTTTCTCCTTTTGGTTTTTAAATCCATCCTCTTTCTGCTACAGCGATTCTTGATGCGCATTTAACACTTTGTCTCATTATCACTGTTTATCTTGGTCGATATTTACCTTATTTTCACTACAGTCAAGTTGCAGTTGAATGTAGTTTTCAGTCAGAAAAAGGCAAAACAAGGCCTCAGACAGCAGCCTTCAAAATCCACGTCTTATTTTGTTCACATACAATATATTTTTGCTCTAGAATATCTGTATTTTAAAGTTTCTTCTTTATTATGCCAAAGCTAGAGAGTTTTATACTTATAAATCAGACATGTTGTACTTGATTCTTGCTTCATTCTGCTAAAGCTGGTGATTATATCCTTATTATGCTAACTATAGAGCTCTGATGTTATGTTTATTTAGTATGAATGCGTACTTTGTTTCGAGCCAAACAAGAACAAAGAACAACCAAAACCAAATAGAAAAAGAAACAATACATGATGATGGACAAATACACGGTATGTATTTGTTTTATTAGCAAAAATCCAGCTCGAAAAGGAAGACTTTTGAACTCCCACCGACTGTTTATTATTCTGAATGAACTTAAATGATGTGGAGGCTACAGCTGAGCTCAGTCTTTGGCGTATTTACATATTTACACTTATGCAACACTGACATTCACAATAATATGCACTTGATTTAAACAGTGTGTGTATAATGTTTGTATTGATATTGTTTCCTTATAGTTTAGAACATTTTAGAATGTTTTTATATGATTCTGATTAAGATGAATACCTTCTTCGTCTTTGAGGATCACAGACTTCACTAATGACACATCACCAACATAAGTTATTATATTTAGAATTTTCTATATCATGAATATTGTATATAATAATTAAATAGGATTTTGTACTTGTTTCTTTGATGCTAGAGTTTTATTGTAAGTAGAATAGTTATTGATAAGACATTTCAGTTCTTTAATCTCTCTTCTGTAACTAGCAATGCAACACTGAAATGTCCTCGCTGTGGGACCAATAAAGGATCTTAAAACAACAATTCCTAATCCGTCTGTCCTGGAATAGTATGACGTCGTTTAGGGCTGCACGATATTGGAAATTAGAGCGATATTCGATATAGTGTTAAGTATTGTATTGTATTATAACGATGTTATTGTGATATTTTTTTCTTTCACCTAAAATTGCATCTGCTTTAAACCCAAGAGACAAATAAGAAAAACATTAATGACATTTAAATGAATATCCATATTGCATATTTTTAAAATATATATTGCGCGCACCAATATTGCGATAACAATATTTTTTTCCATACATTGTGCAGCCCTAACAAGACTTATGTTTCTAGATATTTATTTATCTATGTGTTTGTGTAAGGTAGTTTGTTAATATCTTTTATACGATTAGTAATTGTTTTCCCATTCAGTTTAGATAGATAGACAGATCCTTTCTTGATCCCTGTAGGAGGAATTCAAGTGTCCAGTAGCAGCAAAAACACATCCATCCAAACAAACAAAACAAAGAGATCATTCTAAATAGCTGACAATGGTATTAAAATGCAGCAGCCCCTCAGGTCACAGCAGCAGAGATGGAGTAGGTTGGTTCCAACTATTTTCTCTGCTCTGGTCCAGAGTAAAATGCTGATTGTTAGCATTTTTCAAAAAGTTAGCATTCCTCCGGTGGATTTTCCCCTTATCTGCTCTGGTCAGTACCAGTGTTAAACTATGAACACAGTAGTAACATTTACAAGTAGAAAAAGCAAGAGAAATAGCAATTGCAAAACACAAAACAACAAGTGTCTCAGAGCGACTCAGGACTTGCAGCCGTTTCAGCGCATTCAAAAGTAAAATGAGGCGTGAGGTCATTTGCAAGTCTATGATCACAGATTTGAATAGATGTCGCACACGTTTCCCTGTGTGTTTGTGTGTCTGTTCAACAGCGCCTTTGTAATCCTATTTAAAATCATATTAAAACCGAGCACGAGGCTGAGGTCAGAGCTGGAGAGACCAAAGGCAGTATTTACATGTGGTGTGTGTGAACGAGGATGTGGGTCTGAAAGAACCCATATAAGGCTCTTTGGTTCACACTAAAGTGCGACAAAAGGCCACAAATTAGATTGTAAGAATCAGAAGATATATGATGTTTTTCCTGTATCCAAACACCTCCTCTGTCCTTTAGAAGTTGCTTGAACATAACTGTTTTAAACATTAGTTAAGTTTCCTAAAGTGGCCCTGTTTATTTTTGTATCAGACCTGATCCTTTGACGGAATGTGCTGAAGTTTGTTACTTATTTTCAGATCCACATTTGATTAAGAGAATCTTTTTTTACACCGAGTAGAAACAAAGTGATACTTTCATAGAGTAAACAAAATAAATGTGAAACCAGATTTTTTTGCCTCTTTTTGTCCAGTTTAATTTTTTGAAAAAAATGACCGAAACCTTCACGTCTGTTACACATTTTTACAAGGGTAATACATTTTTAATTTAATTTTTTTTTTTTTTTTTTTTTTTTTTTTAATTGAGTGATTTACTTATGTTGTGTTAGCCATGTTTATCTTGTGGGATTTCATCTGCTGCTTTTTCAGACTGAGGACGTTTAATTTTCTGAGTCACTGTTTTCTTTTGATTGTATCAACACGATCTCTCTGATGTGTCTGTGTCTGAAATATTTTTTCCAATCAGAGATAGTAAATTTAGTTTTTGAGTTATAACCTTTAAACAACTGCAACAAAGCAACCCGGTTGCAGTTGGTCCAGAACGCAGCAGCACGACTTTTAACGGGGGCCAGAAAGCGCGAACACATCACCCCTGTACTCGCGTCTTTGCACTGGCTCCCTGTTCATTTTAGAATTTATTTTAAAATTTTACTGTTTGTTTTTAAATCTTTGCATGGACAGGCCCCTGATTACATCTCGGACCTCATCCAAATTTACACTCCTGCGCGCGCCCTGAGGTCCGAGAGCCAGCTCCAGCTTGTGGTCCCTAACGCGAGACTTAAAACCCGGGGGGACAGAGCCTTTTCTGTGGTCGGCCCTAAGCTCTGGAACGCTCTTCCCCTCCATGTCCGGACGGCCCCCACAGTAGAGTGTTTTAAGTCTCGTCTTAAGACCCACTTTTACTCTTTGGCTTTTAACACTGTGTGAGTTGTGTGGTCCTCTGTGTTTTTATTTTTCTATTTATGGTTTTAATCTGTTTTATATATTTTTATTCTTTTATACTTGGTGAAGCTAAGGATAAGTTGTTATTTATTTTATACTTTTTTGTGCAGCACTTTGGAAACGTAACTGTTGTTTAAATGTGCTATATAAATAAAGTGGATTGGATTGGATTGGATTAAAGTCCAGATACTTTAATGGACACTTTCCTGTGACCGCAATCATCTCTGATGCTGCTTCTGTAACGTGTCCCTGTGTGTTGGTTTTTCTGTAACGTGTCCCTGTGTGTTGGTTTTTCTGTAACGTGTCCCTGTGTGCTGGTTTTGCTGTAACGTGTCCCTGTGTGCTGGTTTTGCTGTAACGTGTCCCTGTGTGCTGGTTTTGCTGTAACGTGTCCCTGTGTGCTGGTTTTTCTGTAACGTGTCCCTGTGTGCTGGTTTTTCTGTAACGTGTCCCTGTGTGCTGGTTTTTCTGTAACGTGTCCCTGTGTGCTGGTTTTTCTGTAACGTGTCCCTGTGTGCTGGTTTTTCTGTAACGTGTCCCTGTGTGCTGGTTTTGCTGTAACGTGTCCCTGTGTGCTGGTGTTGCAGGTCTGTCAGCATCCAAACGCCCGGATGAGAGAGTGGGGGGCCGAGGCTCTGACGTCACTCATTAAAGCGGGTCTGGCCTACAAGCACGACCCGCCCCTGTCCCAGAACCAGGTGCGACACACAATCACACAACAACAAACAGTCTGACGGATACGAGTAGACCTTGGACAACTTCTCAATTCAATTCAATATATCTGTGTATAGCCCTGTACAGAGGACTTTACAGAAGTTGTGGATTCACCAACATCAGATCAGAGAATCAAACCGTTCTAACACAGGAAATACAATCATAACAAACACAGGAGCCTTTGATCCACAGGGTCCAGAGATGTTGACCTGGATCATCAGTGTTCTGAGACCTTCCTGCGTCAGAATATTATCTTTGCACTAATACAGGTTTTAAAAGGGGTTGGATGAAGAAGATGCTTATTTGTTCCCAACACAATACACAGAATACAAAGCAACTAATAAGCATCCAGTATCAATACTTTGATTCTGTGCAGTAAATGTAAACATATACAGTACATTTTTTTTACTCTATCATGGGGTGTTAGAGATAAAAACAGTGGGAAAACAAGTGAGGAACCTCAGGGAGGCCCATAATGAGAGAGGGAACCACTCCTACAGCTGTAGACCCAGGACTGAGGCTGTAGACCCAGGACTGAGGCTGTAGACCCAGGACTGAGGCTGTAGACCCAGGACTGAGGCTGTAGACCCAGGACTGAGGCTGTAGACCCAGGACTGAGGCTGTAGACCCAGGACTGAGGCTGTAGATCCAGGATTGAGGCTGTAGACCCAGGACTGGGTCTTACATACTCAATATTAAATATCTTTCGCCACCTCTGACCGCCTTAATAAGCAGCTCTCCTGAACTGTGCCTGTTGCAGCGGCTGCAGCTGCTGCTCCTGAGTCCTCTGAAGGAGCTTTCCAACGTGCTGCACTCGGACATCCGACAGAAGCAGCTGGAGAGTGTGCTGCAGATCCTCCAGAGCCAGGGCGACGGCCTGGGCCCCGGCTGGCCCCTGGTGCTGGGGGTCATAGGGGCCATACGCAACGACCAGGGGTAAGGCCACTGCACAGATATTCTACCCCGTGTTATAACAGTGGACTTTGGAAAGACACATGTGCCTCCTTAATGTAGCACATGCTAGGTTTTGAGTTTATTTCCTCTTTCTGCAGAGAGTCGTTGATCCGAACAGCCTTCCAGTGCCTACAGTTGGTGGTCACAGACTTTTTACCCACGATGCCTTGCACCTGCCTCCAGATTGTAGTGGATGTGGCCGGGAGCTTCGGTCTCCAGAACCAGGAGCTCAACATCAGCCTCACGTCCATCGGCCTTCTGGTGAGTGTTCTTCTTTCTGCCTCGTACACGTAGATCTGCATCACCTTCACCTGGAACACAGACATCCATTTTCTTCTGCTTCATCCGTTGCCGGGTCACAGGGGCAGCAGTCGAAGCAGAGACGCCCAGACTTCCCTGTTGTTACTCCTACTCGCTTTGAAATGATAAACTGTATATACTAGACTATAAACAATGTTATATGTGGTTTATAATTGTCTTTCCATCAAGCTTTCATGTTGTGCGTGCGTGTGTGTGAGAGAGAATGTGTGTATGTGCATGTATGTGAGTGTGTGTGTGTGTGTGTGTGTGAGTGTGTGTGTGAGAGAGAATGTGTGTATGTGTGTATGCAGGTACAGTATGTGAGTGTGTGTGAGAGAGTATGTGTGTGTGTGTGTATGTATGTGAGTGTGTGTGTGAGAGAGAATGTGTGTGTGTGTATGTATGTATGTGAGTGTGTGTGTGAGAGAGAATGTGTGTGTGTGTATGTATGTATGTGAGTGTGTGTGAGAGAGAGGATGTGTGTGTGTGTATGTATGTATGTGAGTGTGTGTGAGAGAGAGGATGTGTGTGTGTGCGTGTATGTACAGTATATGAGTGTGTGTGAGAGAGAATGTGTATGTGTGTGTGTATGTATGTGAGTGTGTGAGAGAGAGAGAGAATGTGTGTGTATGTATGTATGTGTGTGTGTGTGAGAGAGAGAGGATGTGTGTATGTATGTATGTGTGTGTGAGAGAGAGAGGATGTGTGTGTGTGTGTGTGTGTGTGTATGTATGTGTGTGTGTGTGAGAGAGAGGATGTGTGTGTGTGCATGTACAGTATGTGAGTGTGTATCTGTATGTATTCATTTGATATAAAAATATATAATGATTTTGAGGGGCTGCCAAGAAGAAAGAGGATCTTACAGTAAATGACTCGTCCATGAACCGTTAGGACAGTTTTATTTGACCTCCTGACATTCTTCTGCCTTGTTCTTTAACGCCTTAAGTCTTGGAACCGGTTTGGTCCAGTGTCGCTTCCCCCAGAGTTTTGAACATGATGTGGAGAGGCCAATAATGATCAACTGCTCTGTATTTCAGGCCACACATTATTATTCTGAATCAGTGTTTAGAATCTGTGTGGGCGAGGAGTCAAGAGCTACAGGAGAAGAATGGACGGTTCAGGTCAAACTACACAAATGCAAACCTATTATTGAAACAGGACATGGTTCTCTATGGTCCTGTACTGTATAAATAAGTACATTCAATGTTGAGCTAAACAGTTTTCTGGACATCTGTGATAGAGGTTAAACGCTGCTCTCTGTTCAGTGGATTATTGAACCAGTCTGTCCAGGTCTGGTTCTGTGAGTGACTGGGAGAAGCCTCCAGACCTTTGGACGCTTTCTAAGGCGTCTCAGAACGTCTCCTACAGAGCGCGAGCCAAGCTCGGGTCACAGCAGAGAAGGCATCTGTCTCCTGCAGATGTTTGATGAAGTGATCTGGACGTGTGGAGCTGATCTAGTGTCAAAGACATCAGCACAAACATGTTTCTTGTGTAGTGATGTGACTTTCAGTAAAAACACTCATCTCCCACCTGGACACAACGGAGATTTCAGGGCACGTCTCTGACGTCAGCGTCTCCTCCTCGTTGCTGCTTCGCAAGACACAGGTTCTTCAATCAAAAGGTAGAAATTGAGATTGGAATTAGAATTTCTAGGTGGACAGGTTTTGGACACAGCCAGGGCCAGAGAGGGTCCGGTTCGGAGACCACAGGTTTTCATCTGTGCTGTTTGTGGAGGATGTTGTGTGCAGCACTTAAACAGTTTGGCTTCTTTCTTCTTGGTAAAAGGTGGAATTCAAGCCTTTATTTAGTGTCTCTGCGTGTTGAGTCCATGCAGCTGCTGATGAAATATTCAAATCTGTTATTGACATGTGCACGGAGCAAAGTAAACAAACTATTCAAATATTGGCTTTTTTGCTTTTCTGATGCATTATTTATGAGCTCAAATTAAAATGGAGTAATGTGTTCCATAATTTGTAACTAAAAGCAGACACAGATTTGAAACTGGACGGTTGCACTGAGGATATCAAATGTTTGTGTTTCGCTGATTATAAGAAGAATAAGTATAAGAAACTTAATATATAAGATCATTAATGACCAACACACATCTTGACTTTCACTGTTATCTAGTAGAAGCTTGGGCTGTTCTGTCCTCCACACTCCATAGACACTGAAAATTCCCGTAATTTTGCAAGATTGAAACTTTCCAAGTGAATAAACGAGAATAAACATGTTTTTAGTGGTAGGGAAAACCGGAGCACCTGGAGGAACCCTACCACAGAGAGGAGCGCAGGGACTGGCCTAAATGTGGGGAGGCAGAATTATAGATTCATGCTGCTAAAATCTGGATTAGTCGTTCTGGAAATCTGAGACAGGCTTCTACTCTGACAATGTTCAAACCCAGGTTGAAATCAGCCGTGCTACAACTGAAGAATTGTTTATAAGATTTGTATATTTAATGTAGTTATTTATGTGTGATATTTATTGTTTATTTTCTTTTGCCAAGCACTATTGAGAAGGTCCTAGGTTTGAATGCCGGTTGGAACAGGATCTTTCTGAGTGGTTTGCATGTTCTCCCCGTGTACTCCGGTTTCCCCGACCACTAAAAACATGTTCAATAGTTCTGTGCCTCCTGTACTGGCCCCGCTCCCGTCTCTGTGTGGAGGGAGAGACTAATGCCCACAACTGTAAACCGCTTTGACTCTGGTCTGTGAAAGACGGTGTATATAAAAAAAAAAACTTACTTAGTTGTCTTTTGTATGAACTGTGCTTTACAAATTAACCTCATCTGGCTGAAATGAATCTAAAAGGAGTCGCTCAACCAAGTTTCAGTCAAAATGCTGGAATCACTTCTGGATGAATGAGAGACTGTATTTCATTCACACACAAAAAAGTGCTAAATCACTTGTTGTGACATTACTGCACTACAAAAAATATAACATATGAGGTCATATTTGCTTAAACTTAGTGGGTTTTATCTCAATTTGAGCACATCCAGGCCGTCTTAAAACCAGATTTGCCAATGGGACAAAGTCTTATTTCAACTGTTGCTTCTTTTCTAATTTCTTGCAACTTTAAAAACAAGATCATTTTGCTTTGTCCGATCGGCGAATCTTATTTTCAATCAAATCAAATTAAGATACTTTGTGGCAAAACAGAGTAATTTTTGACTTATTTTTCTTCACTTTTTGCAGTGTAGTGCTAGATGCGTCTTACATGAGTCCATACTTACTTATGTTACTATCACTAATAATTCTGCTGTGTTGTTTTTTCCCGCAGTGGAACATTTCAGATTACTTCTTCCAGCGCGGCGAGGTGATCACGCAGGAGCTGGAACGAGAGGAGGCGGCCGTACAGAAGCAGGCCCAGGAGAGAGGAGAGACCCTGAACCGGCCCTTCCACCCGGCCCCGCCCTTCGACTGCCTCTGGCTCTGTCTCTATGCCAAACTGGGCGAGCTCTGCGTGGACCCCAGACCCGCCGTCCGCAAGAGCGCGGGGCAGACGCTCTTCTCCACCATCGCGGCCCACGGGACGCTTCTGCAGCAGCCCACGTGGCACATCGTGGTCTGGAAGGTAACGAGGAGGAGGAGGAGGAAGAGTGAAGCATTTTGTCTCATAGTGTGAAAATGAGTTCGAAAGCTCAGTGAATCACATTTAATAATGATTCATTCTATTTCACGGCGCCTTTCAAGACACCCAAGGACGCCTTACAATATTTAAAGACAGAATAAGACTGAATAGAATACATTTAAAAATCACCTCGAATAAGCCAGTTTAAAAAGGTAGGTTTTGAGACGTGATAGACGTGTTAGAGAGCTCCAGAGTTTGGGAGCAGACTGGCTGAAGCCTCTGGTCTCCATCGTGGCCATTTTGACGGTGGGGACAGTGAGGAGAGCAGCAGGTGGAGGTGTGTGGGTGGAGCAGGTCACTCACTTTTGGTTTCCATGGGGCTTTTTCAAAATGGCCACGGGCAGCCCCTCCCGTTAGCCGGCACCAGCCCCATTCTTTTAACAAGTGCCTTTTGAGGTCCACGGCGGCTAAACTAGACTGGTCCAAAAAATATACACTCCCCTCAGCATGGACAGCATCTGGAACACAGCTTTGGGTCAAGAGCCACTTTTGGACCATCCTGTAAAGAGGTTTTCGAGAAGAAGACGCCATACAAAAGTATTGAATAATTTTCTTTCTGGGTGCACCCCCACTGGCCCGGGGTGGTATTGCAAGTACGTCAGTGCACGTGCTTATTGACATTTTTTAGCCAGGACTCACCCCCACTGGATGCAACAAGCGCCCCCGTGTGGATGTATCACACAAATGTAAAATACCAGATTAAACTCAGAGAAAACAGTGAGACGTATAATTATTTCAATATATATCTCAACACTTTGTTCTACTGTATTAATTTAATCGCATGCAAGAAATATTGCAATACTGAATGGAATAGATTTTTCTCCCCGCCACAGACTTTGATCTCCTCTGAGTCTGTCTTTTATCTCACGGTTCATGGCTCTGAATCTTCGTCCTCTTGAGTTGAGCTTCTGCCAAACCAACATGTTGAACTTTGGTTTTCTTCCTTGTTCTTATAGAAATGATTCACAAAAACATATATGCAGCGCTTTTCTACCTTCTCAAGGCTCTCAAAGCATTTCACATCAAGGAGCCACTCACCCATTCACACACACACACACACACACACACATATACACACACATATACACACACACACACATACACGTTTTTGTTACCTGGTGGGTCCCTTTGACAGGGCCGTTCAGAATGGGACCCATAGACATAATCTTTTTTACTGGGACTACTTTAAGTAATACAAAACAGTCAATAGAAAACAAACAACTCTTTTAAAGGAATTTTATTTTTGATTTTTTTTTCGAATTGCAGTGATTCTATTTTTGACATAGAATTTAATGCCACTCCATGTCCGATGTCTAAGGTCATCTGGTGAGGCATTAATGCAGGCCAGGCCAGGCCAGGCCAGGCAGTGAGACTTCCCAGGGACCTTTCCAGTCTGTATGAAAGGCGTCATGGTCTTCTCCACAGCCTTCACCTCAGATGCAGACCATGGCTTTCTTACACGTTCTAGGGAGAGAAATAAAAATATATTAGCAATATACACTCCCAGGGTTAGGACCAAGCAGCCTGGCTGTAATCCCCCACCTGGTACACTTACCAGAAGGGGCACTGCCACTACCATGGGGTGCATCTGGATGAATGGTTGAAGGTTCTCCGCTTGAAGTTTCTTTTAGCCCGTCCGTTTGTGAGAGGATCTCTACTGCTCTCCCTGTCGCACAGAAAATAAAAATACAAGTGGCCTTTAGGGGAAAAAAATCATACATATTTTAATAATATCAAGAATTACCTTCAGGCTCAATTTGTATCTGGTTGAGGCTCTTTCCTTTGAATTCCGTCACTCTTCCCTGCTCCATGGCCATCAACACTTTGCTGATTTTGGCCAGCTCCAGTGTCCCCTCTGGTAGTCTGTAATATTGTCTGTGGATGCGAATGTCATGGCCGAGGAAGTTGGCTAGTATGTCCATTTCATTCTCTTTAATATTGAGAACTGTAGACATAGTAGCTATGTGCTTTCTAAGTTTGGTTGAGGATAGCATCTCTGGATGCACCGCACCACATTCTTTGGCTACCTGGCGTAGGGAGTCTGATCCCCTGATGTGGGTGTCTGCGCCCGGGCGGGAAAAGAAGTATGGGTTATGGTCAGAGATGGAACAGGCCCTTCTGTTCTCCACCAGCACCTCCATCGAAGCAATCATTTCAGGAGTCAAAAGAACCGGCACTTTCCGACTTCTTTTCCCTTTAATTTCAATGCGTTGAAAATGCTGACACAGCTTTTTCTCAAGTTGGGACAGTCCCAGAGCAATGTCAGAATGGATCCCAGTCTTACTTCTTAAGGTAAAGGCTGTCAGTGGCATCTTTGAAACCTCACCTTCCCTTCTTCGATTGAAAATAATGACCTCACAAAGAGTCAAAACTGCCAGTTTAGACCAATGCTTAGACGTTGGCTCACTTATTAGGGTTTGCACACATTCAGGTCGACATACCTCTATATGTGCATGCATGGCTCTAACGTCCTCAGTTTGATTTCACAGGTAGAGCCAATGCTCTGGCTACGTCACTTTCATTTCCATGTTTTCTAGTCAAATGACGGGACATTTTGTGGCAGGACATTGAACAGTAGAGGCAGAAGTGTCTCTTGCTGTAAACTCGCCCCCCATTTTTCTTCTTTTGCAGCTGCATGATAACAATCTTATTTGCCTTTGGTTCGTCACTTTCCGAGTCTTGAAGAAAAGTGTTTTTGATTTTTCTTTTTCCATACTTTTTTACAGGTTTCTTCTTGACAGTTAAATCGTCAGAATCTGAGTCGACTTCATCAATTAGGGACTCTTGACTAAGCTGCACAAACAACAAATAATTTGTAATCATTCTATATAACAATTTGAAGTCATGACTTGTAGTCAGCACTTACCAGTGGTTTGTAAGCGTGCGCTTCAGTGTGCTGCTCTGTGATTGGCTGCAGCCTAATGAACCACACACTTGCACCTTTTCTAGCCTGACACTTGATTTCCTCTGTTGTGCTGCTCCATGATTGGCTCCAGCCTCTGTTGTGCTGCTCTGTGATTGGCTCCAGCCTCTGTTGTGCTGCTCCATGATTGGCTCCAGCTGGACTGAAATTGCCCCAGTGTGCCCCTCCTTTGGCGGCACGGTGGCTGAGTGGATAGCACTCTTGCCTCTCAGCAAGAAGGTCCTGGGTTCGAATCCCGGCCGGACCAGGGCCTTTCTGAGTGGAGTTTGCATGTTCTCCCCGTGTCTGCGTAGGTTTCCTCCGGGTACTCCGGTTTCCCCTACCACTAAAAATATGTACAATAGGTCTGGCATGCGCCTCCTGTTCGGCGACCCCGCTCCCATCTCTGTGTGGAGTGAGAGACAAGTGCCCAAAAAATAACAATTGTAAACCGCTTTGTGACTCTGGTCTGTGAAAGGCGGTATATAAATAAAGCTTACTTACTTACTTACTACTCCTTGATATCCCGCAATCCACCACCAGGGTTCCGACACATAACACACTTTTTTCAGGAAAGTAAACCTCCAGGGGTCCTTTCCATATTTTTACAGAGACTGCATAAGGATCGTTAGAAAAGCATTACCCATTGATTATTAAGCTTGGACCAGTGGGGTCCGGTGTTCGGGCCCCACCACGTAAAACCAGTCCCCATGACGTGAGTGGAATCTCAGGTTATGGAACCCACCAGGAGTTGAAAACAAGTGCACACACACACACACATACACACAAACACACATACACACACACACACAAACACACACATACACATACACACTGCACACACACACACACACACACACACGCACACACACACATACACACTGCACACACACATCACACACACATCACACACACGCATACACACTGCACACACACACACTTACACATAAACACACCTACATGGGTGAAGCAGGTTAAGTGTCAATAGGAGCTGGTTTCACCCGTTCTGTGATCTGACATAAAGGTGTTTGTCGGGAGCATATATTTTAGAACTCTCTTTTAACAAGCAGGTGAATGAACGAAAGATGAATTGGAAGAACTCTGAAAATAAATAGGCTGAAATCAGTGTTCAAACCATGTTTAGCTGAAATAAATATACATACTCCATAATACATACATATAATGCCCCCTTTCCACCAGCTCCCTACCCCCCCGGCCTACTCTACCCTACACCACCCTACACCACCCTACCCCACCCTTCCGGATTGGGAGCGTTTCCACTGGTCCTGTTTAACCAGTACTAAAAGGTCGTACTAAAGGCTTCTATCTGACAGTGATTGGCAAGAGTGCTGCTGGAAGCCATGGTCACCAAAGAATTTCCCTGAATACTGGTTTGTTGTGGGTACATTTCTAGGATGTGGATACATTGTCTGCCAGCCCATTTCAGAACAGGTACTCCCATATTGCCAGCAGTTTCTGATGATTTTTAAGACCCACAGAAAATTGTGTATTATGACTATTTGAAATCCAGATTCTGAAAGAATGGGCTGTCGACTTTCATCAGCAAAAAGAATTTTGTTTCAAGCTTGTGTTGTTCCCCTGTAATTCCCAGTCGAGTGGAGGGAAGTTTTACTGAAATCACCCGTCTCTGACAAAAAGCTGAGAAAAAGTGCATCCTCTTTTCAAAACATCCAGAGGCAGCGCTGGCGCCACCTGCTGGCTCGATAAAATATGCTCTAAAGCTAATCCCCATACATATTAGATAAAATAGACATCTGAAAGTAGCGAAAAACACATTTGACGCATTACTGCGTCAATGGCAGACATCTGTTTTATTCAGCTCTCTGTATCCTGTGTACTCTAAAGAACACATTTTATTACGTTTGTGCCTCTCTGACAGTAAAGCCCTGTGCTCAGGTCCTGTTCCACCTCCTGAACTGCGTGCGCACATCGTCCACCACTGCAGACAAAGAGAAGATCGAGTCTGGAGGAGGCAACATCCTGATCCACCACTCCCGCGACACGGCGGAGAAGCAGTGGGCCGAGACCTGGGTGCTCACGCTGGCCGGGGTCGCTCGCATCTTCAACACCAGGAGATATCTGCTGCAGCAGCTCGGTACGACTTTAATGTCAGGGTTTACAGCTGTGACATTCTCACTGCTTTAAAAACGTTAGGAATGTTAACATGGGACGCCATCTACCAGGAAAGCTACCGTTGAATGAGTCATGGAAGATGATGGTGAATGAGTCATAGGAGATAACGGTGAATGAATCATGAAAGCTAACAGTGAATGAGTCATGAGCGCTAACATTGAGAGACAGCTTCACTGTAAGCTCACAGTGAAGCTGTCTCTCTGCTACATTACAACATGGCACAACGGAGCATAAGACTTATTCAATTTTATTTTTATTTTTTGCAGACTCTATAAGATTAAACTGATAATAACTGGACTTCAAAGTCATGGGCTTTAAAAAATTGTGCTTCTGAAATTAACCTTTAGCCTCCTATATTCTATGACGGTTGCTCGGTTTTGTGTGGCTTTGTTGCTAGGGAACGTTCTATTGAGTTTCTTGTTTTATCTACTCTTTGTCTCATCCATCTTTGTCTTTGTGTGTTTTTTGCTCAGGTGATTTCTTCGAGGCCTGGGAGGTGCTGCTGACCCACATCCAGTCTGCGGCTCTCAGTAAGAACAACGAGGTTTCTCTGGCGGCGCTGAAGAGCTTCCAGGAGATTCTGCAGATCGTGACTCCGGTTAAGGACATGGACAAACCAGGAGACGCTCTGTCGGCTCTGTGCGTCCCCCCGGTCCTCATCGACCCCCTCTCGGCCTCCGGACCCGGCAGACCGCTGGTGCGATCGGACTCTCTGGTGGAGCGGCTAACGCGCTACAACGGCGCCGAGATGCAGGCCCCTCCCCCCGGCGAGGAGTCGGCATTAGAGGACGCTGCACTTTGGTGGTCGGCCTGGAACACCTGGTACAGGACCGGGACGGAGAGCACCAGGCCCCCTACTGGTGCGGCAGAGAAACTGACCTTTATCCCCAGCCAGCCCTACCTGACGGCCTTGATCCAGATCTTCCCGGCACTTTACCAGCACATCAAAGCCAACTTCAGCATGGAGGAGCTGCGGAAGCTGGGGGTGATTCTGCACGGAGCGGTTTCTGTGCCCATCAGCAGCGACGCTTCACCGTTCATCCTGCCGTCCTATACGGAGGCGGTGCTCACCAGTCTCCAGGAGGCCGTGCTCACTGCGCTGGACGTCCTGCAGAAGGTGAGGGCGCTACGCTAACACCGGGACTTTTAACTTTCAGATTCAGACTCAGATTTGATACATCAGAAGGAGCAGCTAGAAGTGCTCAGGGGCTCAAAAGTCATTAGACGCTAGTGCTCTTCTGATGGAGCAAATTAGGTAACTTAAAGAATGAGTTAGAGTAGTAAGAAAGTAAATAAGTAATGTTTATTTATATAGCAAATTTTACAGACCAAGGTCACCCAAAGCACTTTACAATGTTCAGAGTCAGATATTGTTTAATTCTCTTCACACAGAAGCGAGACGCCGAACACACTGGTCCATCAAAGCCCCAACCAACACCATCCATTCACTCTCATTACATTCACACCTGTTGTGCATGTGTTTAGTGGTAGGGTAAACCGGAGCACCCGCAGGAAACCTACGCAGACACAGGGAGAACATGCAAACTCCACTCAGAAAGGCCCTGTACAGAGGCACTCGGATGCGGAGAGTTTCAACGTGCTGTTTTCATCAGGGCTTGTAAAGGATTTGATTTGTTTTATTCAGACATTTAAACACGATATGTCTGAAATGGAAAAGGCAGAAGCTAAAGATAATTGCACCTTTTCATTTTTGCGAAACTAAAAACAGAAAAGCTGCCAATTTATGTACAGCTATACAGTTTAGTTTTCCTTTAAATAACAAAACATGACGTTAAGTTCCATCACAAACAAAAAGCTATGTTTTCATCCTCAGCATTCATTCTCAACATGTCCCATCACTGTTTCTTCAAAAAAAATTAAATTGATTTCAACGTTTAGAGTTGGTTAGCTCTTGTTCCAACGCACTCCACACATTCACCCCAACAAAAGAGACACAATGCTGCTTTGCACAAGTTCTTACAGTTGTTTTTTATACAATGCTACTTCTGAAACAGTTCCTGAATATTTGCTGGTGGTTTGTCAACTAAATCTACTAAAGCTACCAAATGCTAACTGCTAACGGTAAACAGTGTGTTGCTATGGTTACTGGTGCTCTCACTTTTCCGGTGACGAAACCAAATTGACCCAGAACCAAATGTAAAAAGTTCATTATCCCCTTTTCTTTTTAACCTCTTAGAACCCGCTCATTTTTAAAATGTTCTGCTGGCAATAGCAGATGTATTTTGAACTTCTAACCCGGAAACTGTATCTAAATTTAAAGATTATTTTCTCATCTACATTTATTGTAAGCAAGTGTAAACAATATCAGACTTTGCATTAAAATGATATAACACATAATATGGGCACAAAATAAATCACATCCGTATAAGTTTTTTACATTTAGTCTTGTACTGCAGAAACAAATGAGACTTGCCCCATCCTTGCTATGGCTCTTTCCCTCCGTAAATGTCCATGGAAAAAGAACATCCACTTGTATTTTCCAAAGTATAATCCATTCTGGAGAAATAATCCAAAAATGTGTGTTTATCTTTTGCTAAAAAAACGTTCTGAAAAAGCACAGACGCTACTGTTTCACTGTTAGCGGACTTTCAGCTTACTTTATCATCCAAACACAGGGTATGCTCGAGTTCCTTCCTTACTTCCTTGAGAAGATCCGCGCTCGAGTTAGTTTGCAACAGGCCCGTGGATAAAACAAGCGAACACCTTTTGCGCACAGTCAGTTTGTACTTGTTAGCCAGACGGCTAGGGAAGTGTTCTCTTGCCAAATGATTGACATGTCTAAGTAGCCAATTGGGAAAGCTTTCTAGCAATGGGTGGGGCATGGCGATACTGTGTTGATTTGTGTCAGTAGAAGCCGTGCGTAAAGGCAGAGAAGCTCTCGGAGCAAAAAATGTAAAGTGTACAAACAAACAGTAAAATATATTTCTCTTCTGAAAAAATGTGTAAATACGAGATTGTATATGTGCATGTATAGTATAACACATACACATATCCATACACACATACATAAACGTACATGTATATAGACACATACATATACGTACATGTATATAGAATATATAGAATACTTTGAAAAAATGTTTTTAAAAAATCACACAGATTAGTAACTTATAAGTACCATACAGAAAAATTTGGTTTTTATGATAATGAAATGTCAGTAAAGAAATTGGGGTCCGAATGGCACTACTATCAAAAAGAGAAACTGCATAAAAACTATAAAACTATACAAGACCAGAGAGAGAGAGAGAGACAAGAGAGAGAGAGAGAGACAAGAGACCAGAGAGAGAGGCCAGAGAGACTATAGTGAAAGCGACCAGAGAGAGACAGAAGAGACCAGAGAGAGAGAGAGTTTGTTGATGAGGCTCCTTGCTTGTGCCTGTCCCCCGCTGTAGGCCATCTGTGTGGGCCCTGAGAGTCTGCAGGTCATGCACCCGGCCATCTTCCAACAGCTGCTGCGCTTTGTGGAGTTCTCCTGCAAACCGCCCACGTATGGCCGCGTGGAGACCAAGCACGTGGCCAACGCAAAGTACAACCAGGTGAGGAAGGGGTGAAGGAGGGGAAGGGGGGAGGAACAAGGAACAAGGGGGTTACTGTGGCTATTTGTTTTTTTGCAAGGATTTTATGTGTGTGTGTGTCGTGACGAGGGTTGCACAATATTCTAGTAGAGGTAGACCGCTCTCAGTAGTGCATGTTTTAAAGATAGATACTTTATTGATCCCTGTAGTAGAAAATCAAGTGCCCAGCAGCAAAAACACATCATTTATACAAACATGGATAAATACATAATAATATAGTAGCAAAGTCACATGTGTAACCCAGACAGATCTGTGGTACAGTCTTACAGCCAAAAAAACAAAGTATCTCTTAAAACGTTCCGTCCGGCAGCGCAGTGAGAGGAGCCTGTTGCTCTGGTTACTCCTCTGAGCGGCCATAGCGTCATGCAGAGTGTGTCGGGAGTTACTCAGGATGCCCTGCAGGAGAGACCTCATCCTCCTCTTCAGCACAGAATCTGAATCGCTGCCTTCTCATCTTTAGTCCTGACTCTGGGACCAGCAGGAGGCCAGTCCCTGTGCTCCTCAGAGTCCCAGCAGGAGGCCAGTCCCTGTGCTCCTCAGAGTCCCAGCAGGAGGCCAGTCCCTGTGCTCCTCAGAGTCCCAGCAGGAGACCAGTCCCTGTGCTCCTCAGAGTCCCAGCAGGAGGCCAGTCCCTGTGCTCCTCAGAGTCCCAGCAGGAGACCAGTCCCTGTGCTCCTCAGAGTCCCAGCAGGAGGCCAGTCCCTGTGCTCCTCAGAGTCCCAGCAGGAGGCCAGTCCCTGGATAGTAATGTTATCTCCTTGAAATAGCTTCTGGTTGAGAACCAAATAGCAGAATCTTCTAAAAGGACAAAATTAACCTTCCTAAACCCTGTGCAGTTCGTGCAAGGCAGCCCAGGAATGATGAGTCGACAACTTTGTAGTCCTCCAAGACAACTGCTGTGATTTAGGGCATTAAATACGTTGAATTGAATTCAACTGTGCCATTTTGCAAATAGGGATAAAGTCTGACCAAACCACTGATAAGTTTTGTCTGATTTTTGTTCCGGCAGCGACACACATTTATAAAATACATTTGTAAAGTTCTAGTTTTATCTCTTTCTCATATGTTCTCACACAAATCAAATCTTTCATTATTGTGCAGCCTTTACTGTGAATTCCAACATCGGTTATCAAAGGAGCACTCTGTAACTTTTCTGGTTGAAAGTCGACCACATTATTGTTTCCATGGAGATGTTTCTTTGTATTGAATAAACCTGTCACAGGTTTAAAGGGTGTAAATAGTGCAACCTACACCATTAGTGGCTTTTGACAATGTTTTAGTTCTCACTCCTCATCTATGCACTAAAAATACATATTAGTACCACAGTGGGGAAATTAGAAGTTGTCATTTACAACTAACAGAGCTCCATGTCTTCTTCAAACACGTTCTCTGTATATTCAGGAAAACATCAAGACACAAGTCACACAGACTGTAGAACCTGGACTGAGTCCTGGATCTACAGCCTCAGTCCAGGACCTGTCCGTCCATGGGAGAGGATCCCTTTATGGGCCTCCCTGAGGTTTCCCACTGTTTTTGTTAGAGTGGTTCTGATACAGAAAGGTCTAAGGACAGTGTCGTCCCGCTCCCTTTGGACCAATGTTCAAACTGTTTCATTCTCTGATCTGTGGTTGACGAATCAACAAAATCCTTCAGGGCGACTGCTGTTTTGTTTTAGGGCGATACACAAATACATTAGATTAAATTGGATCCACCAGAAAACTTCCTTTAATCGCTGAGTTTTTGTGTAAAAGTTCACCTCTGTGTGAACTCAGACTGACTCCACTCTCACTCGTCGCCTTGAGCCATCTCCCAAACTCTGCACCTCTCTCCACAAAACTCTCACAATATATTTCTCTCAATTTCATAGTTCACTCAAAGTTCAGAATGTTTACGTTACATGTATTTATTTTTTCACTGAGAAATCCCTTGAAATACCATGTAGAATGGGGTTTGGGTTTGGGAGCTTTGAATTCAACCCTATTTCAAAGAGAGCTGTTTGTTAGAGCTGCAGCCTGTATGGTTTTAATGTTTTCTTTTCAAATAGATAATGTATTTTTTCCCTTAATGCAGTTTGGCCAAGACTTGATCAGTGAACTCTTCCCTTCATCTTAAACAAATGAACTATTCTTACTTTTACATAGTTCTGTAAAGGTAATCAATCATATATTGTGCAGAATACATTAGCAGCTTAGTCACCGATGCATAGGACTGGACTGGTGACAGCATAAGATATAGACACATGCAGTAATAGTTTACACACAGACAGGGACTGAGAGAGACAGACAGAGGGAGACTGAGAGAGAGACAGACAGAGGGAGACTGAGAGAGAGACAGAGAGACATACAGAGGGAGACAGGCATTACGGAAAGAGGCAGAGAGTGAGACAGACAGAGACAGACAGAGACAGACAGACAGAGACAGACAGAGAGACAGACAGAGAGACAGACAGACAGAGAGAGAGACAGACAGAGAGACAGACAGAGGCAGACAGAGGCAGACAGAGAGACAGACAGAGAGACAGACAGAGAGACAGACAGAGAGACAGACAGAGAGAGAGACAGACAGACAGAGACAGACAGAGACAGACAGAGACAGACAGAGACAGACAGAGACAGACAGAGGCAGACAGAGGCAGACAGAGGCAGACAGACAGACAGACAGACAGACAGACAGACAGACAGACAGACAGACAGACAGACAGACAGACAGACAGACAGACAGACAGACAGACAGACAGACAGACAGACAGACAGACAGACAGACAGACAGACAGACAGACAGACAGACAGACAGACAGACAGACAGACAGACAGACAGACTGACTTCTTTTGCCTGACGGTTTTGTTCCTTGTAGAATGAAAACTAAACAAAAAAGGACATACACAGCGATAGTTGTTATGGAGATACTGTGCACGAGAACCGCAGACAGAAAACAGACTGAATGACAAAACAAGTGTAAATATTTTGCTGAGGTTAGAGTGGCACAGTCAGAGCTGGATGGTGAAGTGAAGCACAGAGCTGCAGAACCACCGGCTCGTCTCCATGGAGATGTTATTGATTCGCCAACGTGGCCATAAACATTTATCTGTTTGAAAAAAGACAAAATGTCTTCGCAAAACATGATTTTTCACAGTGAGAGGGCTGCCAGAGAGAGAGAGAGACCAGAGGAAGAGAGCGAAGGGAGAGACCAGAGAGAGACCAGAGGAAGAGAGCGGAGAGAGACCAGAGGAAGAGAGCGGAGGGAGGGACCAGAGGGAGACCAGAGGAAGAGAGCGGAGAGAGACCAGAGGAAGAGAGCGGAGGGAGGGACCAGAGGGAGAGACTAGAGGGAGAGACTAGAGGGAGAAACTAGAGGGAGAGACTAGAGGGAGAGACCAGAGGAAGGAGAGACCAGAGGGAGAGACCAGAGGGAGAGACCAGAGGGAGAGACCAGAGGGAGAGACCAGAGGGAGAGACCAGAGAGCGAGAGAGGATATATTTTTGAATCCTTTGGGGAGCTGCCTGAAAGCTACTGGTAGCTCGCGAACCACAGGTTGGAGACCCCTGCTGTAGATGATGATCTTTGTGATGCTTCCTTCCCAGACACTACTAAACTATCAACACTATTGTTTATTCAATCTAAATTCAGATTGACCAAACCTGATGCTCCTCTGTGTTTGTTTAATCCCAAACTGTCGGCTACAGTTCTTACCAGACGCTTTCATCAGTCCCTCTGCAAATAATACACATCTGAAAAGTGTCAAACTCGGGTCAAAACTGTTTTTCCCAAAGGTGTGTAACGTCAGCATAACAGGAGACAGAGGTTAGAGTTAGTTAGTACACTTCTATGAATTTGTCCTGTTTTCCTCACAGCGATAACTCAGGACAGGAAACACTGACCTGTTAAAACATACCTCCATAACATAACTACACACACAGGGGCCAGAGGGAGAGAGGCCAGAGGGAGAGAGACAAGAGAGAGACCAGAGGGAGAGGCCAGAGGGAGAGAGACCAGAGAGAGGCCAGAGGGAGAGAGACCAGAGGGAGAGGCCAGAGGGAGAGAGACCAGAGAGAGATACCAGAGAGAGATACCAGAGAGAGATACCAGAGAGAGATACCAGAGAGAGAGACCAGAGAGAGAGACCAGAGAGAGAGACCAGAGAGAGAGACCAGAGAGAGAGACCAGAGAGAGAGACCAGAGGGAGAGGCCAGAGAGAGAGGCCAGAGAGAGAGAAGAGAGAGACCAGAGGGAGAGGCCAGAGAGAGAGAAGAGAGAGACCAGAGGGAGAGAAGAGAGGCCAGAGAGAGAGGGCAGAGAGAGAGAAGAGAGAGAGAGACCAGAGAGAGAGACCAGAGAGAGAGACCAGAGAGAGAGACCAGAGAGAGAGACCAGAGAGAGAGACCAGAGAGGGAGACCAGAGAGAGAGACCAGAGAGAGAGACCAGAGAGAGAGACCAGAGAGAGAGAAGAGAGAGACCAGAGGGAGAGGCCAGAGAGAGAGGCCAGAGAGAGAGGCCAGAGAGAGAGGCCAGAGAGAGAGGCCAGAGAGAGAGGCCAGAGAGACCAGAGATAGAGACCAGAGAGACCAGAGATAGAGACCAGAGATAGAGACCAGAGATAGAGACCAGAGAGACCAGAGATAGAGACCAGAGAGACCAGAGATAGAGACCAGAGATAGAGACCAGAGATAGAGACCAGAGAGATAGAGACCAGAGAGAGAGACCAGAGAGATAGAGACCAGAGAGAGAGACCAGAAAGATAGAGACTAGAGATAATAAATCATAGTTTTGAACAGTGTTAACCTGGTTTTCAAGGACCACATGAATACAACATGAAACTGTAATGATCTAAAAACACCTCACACTAAATAACTAAATTTCCGTGTTTCTTCCTGACAACAAAAACAAACCCGCTCCATTCAGACGTAGCTCACTCAACCAGAACCTTCCACTGTGCACCCTTTATACCCACTCATAAACACAGCCCAAATACTATCCAAATATACATCATTTTAATTGCACTCTTCTCTTGTGCTCTTCCCTGGGACCCCTCCCTCTGGATTACAATTATAGATCCAGCTGTTTGCACCGGTGAGTCCCTTCTCCTCTGGCCCTTCTTATTCTCTAAAGCTGACAATCTGTGCCTCTGTACTGCTAAAGCCGATAACTCTTTTGTTTGTGAAGTACGGAGGAGCCATTAACTTCAGGAAAAAACATACAATCTTGGAAAAAAACGTTCAGTATTGACCCCAAATGTACAGGCTATGTTTAAAGTACATATGTGGTTCTCAATTTAAAGCAGTAGTTTGGCCATTGTTGCTTCTAAATGGTTTCTTTTGTATAATCTGGACCCTTTATCAATTATGAAAGTGATTGTGACTCCTTTGTGTGTAGTTTTTCTTGATTGTTGTTTCTGTTGTGTGTCTTCTTTCCTTCATCTTTGTCTGGATTTGAGTATTTTTCCTTTTTGTTGTGGTGAAGTTTGTCGTTTTTCCACCTGACTCTCCACATTCCCGTCCTCCACTTCCTTCTGATTCACACCTTTGTGATTGAGCGAATTTCAATGTTGTTTTTTGTCAAGTTTAAAGACAGAATTTAATCTGAAATGTGATAAAATATTCATCTGTGTCTTCATTCTCAGGATAACTCCAGTTTGACTTTGCGAGCGCTTTAGCAAAATGTCCGTCAAAACAAATGCCCATATAAGGAAATAGGCCCCTGCTTAGGTTCAAATCAGCCTCTTTTCCATTAAAGGTACACTCTTGGAGCTTTAGAATCTGAGACGTTGTTATAAAACTGATGAACGTAGGTTTCTGTAAGTCGAAACGGGCACTTCAACTGAAACCCAAGGACTGCCAAATCTTCTGTCCAAACTTCTGATTAAGGGGGCCATTTATTCTGAAGGGACCTACAACATGGATTATGAAACTGTTTTGACGAGATTCAGGCTGTTGGAGCTTTAAAACGAGTTATAATAGGTCCATATTGATTCACACAACAGCTACATTAGCACCAAAACAAATGTCTGTCTATTCCAAAAGGGCTGAGCTTTACAGTGAGGTTTGCCTGCACTGGTGGAGCTGAAGTTGGCTGGATGACTCTGTGAATCCACTTTGGTCATGCCTGATTCAGAATACTTATTTGAAATTTAAGTTTTAGGTTTACCTCCTTTGATGTCTTGGTGGTTATCATTTATATATATTACATTGCAAGACTCAGAAATAAAACAATTTTTAGGGTACAGAAATACTTTTTAGGATTTGGAGAAAGTAGACGCCTTTTGACTCCGAGTCTAAAGTGTTTAAGCTTTAAAAAATGTTATGTTTCTGAATTTGCAGGTGACTTTAGTAGTGAACTGCTTGCTATGCTAATTACCTGATAGCCTCTAGCCACAGCGCACTAGCCTCTATTGCTAGTATCCTCCACAGGCTTAAATTACACTTAAATTTGGCTTTGATCATAACTTCTAATTTGCCGTCCGTTCCTATTTAAGCAGACACATGCATGATACAGTTCAGGTCCATGTTATTTGTGTAGAGCCTTGAGAATGACTGCAGCGCGGCACAAACACAGATGAAGCTGCAGGATTCCACAGAGACAGCAGTGCAAACATGTTTCCATGGTTTCTCCGTGTTATTATCATTCTTATCGGCCGAGTTTGGAGTGATTCATACATGTTTGAGGAGTCGTGTATTGATCACAGCCGCAAAAGCAGCAGATGGATTTAATTACTCAAAGATATTGAATAAATGAATAAAGCCTCAAAACAAATGCACAGAAGCGCTTCACGAACGGGCTTTCCACATGACTGTAAATCTACCAGTGTTCGCTACAGGGAGTCTCCAGCGCAGTCCTGAGACCAGGTGTGACATACCAGCAGAAAACTACATACAATATTAAATACACATGTTCAGTAACGTTTAATATATTACCATAGAAACATGTAATTAGAACATAGACAAAGACAAGAGTATATTTCAGAATCAGAATCATTTTTATTGCCACGTAAGTAACATGAGGTCACAGATTTGGACATTGCTTTGACTCAGTGCAACAGTCAGAGAGAGAGAATAAAAAAATAAAGAATAAAAACACTTCTAAGGAATACATTTCAAATTAAAATTAAAATAGAGTTACATATTTCAGATCAGCAGCAGCAGGGATCGTCCACTAGAACTCCCAGAGCCGCCATTTTGACTTCTCCCATTCAATAGAAAAGAAATCTGAGAAATTACCCCAAAATGGCCTGAACAAACAATAACATTTTTCACTTCAAAATGCAAACGCTGACGTCTCCAGCCCGACATACAGAAAAGTTCCCAAGTCTTTTGAAACCGAATCACAGATGGTCCTGGTGAATGTAGCTGAAGATCGCTCTGTGCCACTGTGGCATTCTGGGAATTTGGTTCGAAATCCAGTAAACCAGAAAACACTTCCTGGTAGAAAAAGTCAGCATTCGATACGATTTCTTATGGTATTTGTTGCTGATAACAGGGTCAGTTTATCCACAGCTACAAAGGGTTGCATTTCAAAATAACAGAAAATATCTTAAATATGATATAAAATAATGACATAGAAATATACTACAAACAGATACAGAAATAGTCACAAAGTAAAAAATAACAAAAAGCCAATTTATATGTGAGAATTGTGTATCAAAACTCACTGAGAATTGTGATTGGCTGAATATTTTCTCAGTTGGACTAGATTATTTGAGGCAGCAGGAACCATTTAAGATGTTAAAAACAAAAAAAAAAACAGTTTACCATCTTGGAATCTCTATTTGACGACCTGCTCTCGGACTTAAAACTTTGTACTGCCAATGTCACTTTTTGATATTGTACATGAGAAATATATATTACCTCTATTCTAAGATACCTACAAGATACAAGAATTTATTTGCCATTTGCAGTAAAACCACATTGGAAAAACTGTGCAAGACTACCCCAGTGTGCACCTTGAGTGATCTTACTGAATCCAAATGGAGCATGTACATTTCTCCAGTGTGAGATCAATAACATTTTAGCCCAGTAGCTTATACTGTATATGTGGCCTCAAGGCTGCAGCGATGGTGGCGAAACCGTTTCATATCCTCTTAACGCGCGTTTGTCGACAGCCTGGACGAGGTTTAAGATTGTCCTGCAGCCGTGGGACCAGCTGGTGACACAGCAGGTTAGGCAATAACAGTAGGTTAGATAATTCCACACCCAACCATGGATGTGTATTATCATAGAATGTTAAAAATAAGATTAAATTCAACTTATTTTTGTACAGCCCTAAATCACAGCAGTGGTCATCTCGGAGGACTTTACACATGTGTCAATTCGCCAACAACAGATCAGAGAATCAAACGCAAGAAATGGAAAGATGAAAACACATAGAGCCATTGGTCCATAAGGAGAATATGACCATAAATGTTGATAAAAATTCATAAATGTGGTTGAATGTCGAGCTGTCCTTAGATAGAGGCTTCTTCGGACATTTTGCACAAAATGGAAAAAGCCTCCGCTGTTTGTGTAAATGGCTCACTCCACACTAAACTCTACAATGGGTCGATCCAACTTCAAGCGACAATAAAATAAATGTATGCATCAAAAATGTTTGTACCTAAACATGTTTTAATACTATGTAGCTTATAGATATACATGGGATAATCTCAGAAGGGCAGCTAAAACTATTTCAAGAAAAATGGAGGACTTTCACAAAAGAATTGATGAACTTTCGGGGACATATTTTTAACGTTCAGGACATGTCATGTTGGAGGTTTTGAGAATGGAAGAATTAACAGGACAGAGACTTTAATGGTTAATGGTTGGAGATAGAACTATAATCAACCTGTAATGATAGATTTTTAATTATGCAAATACATTTTATTCAATATCTGCAGACAAAACCGGCGTTGTGGACGTAACAATCGTGTCTACTTTTGTTACGTCCAAATCGTCTGTCTTGGAGCGCTGTTAATAGTACGGCCGTGAACAAATCAGTGTTTAAGAAGTGCGCCCTCCACTGGACAAATTAGGAACACAACAAGAGTGAGTGCTGTGAACCTTTGGCAGTAGCGACCACGGACATTTCTGGACTTTTTTGTGTCATTGACCCAAGTGAAAAACATTGGTACAGTTAAGTGTGGAATAAGCCAAATTCAGGTGTTTTTACGGCTTCTTCTCTGGACACAATCTATCTCTGTTGTGTGTCTTCAAATACTTTTCTGATTGTGCTGTGGTTGAAGTATCCAGACCCGCTGATTTGACTGTCTTTTGCGGTCTTCTCTCTCTCTCTCCAGGCAGAGTGGGTGGCCTTGAACTACGTGCCGTTTGCAGAGCGCTCCCTGGAGGTGGTGGTCGACCTTTACCACAAAACGGCCTGTCACAAAGCCGTCATCAGCGAGAAGGTTCTGCAGAATATTATCAAGGTATTTCACGAATACAAACGTTTGTGAATGTAGAGTGTTGCGTCTAAAACTTATATTTTTCCACACAAAAAAAACACATAACAAATAAAATACAGATTATTTTTTCTATAATATATTTGCAGGGCAGTGAATACAATCTGATTGAATACATGCTGTATATGGATGGACAATGCTAACCTGCTCTGCTCAATGAAGGCCGCTAGGGAAGTGGTTATGGACAAAGTTTTGCTCCAACTCTCTCTGACTCCTATTGACTCACATGTTAAAGTAATCTCCTCCAGCTCAGTAACGGTAACACACTCACCATAGCCTGGTCTTACCATGTGTAAACTCTGGTCCATGATCATCTCCTACATGTACGTCTGGTCTTACCATGTGTAAACTCTGGTCCATGATCATCTCCTACATGTACGTCTGGTCTTACCATGTGTAAACTCTGGTCCATGATCATTTCCTACATGTACGTCTGGTCGTACCATGTGTAAACTCTGGTCCATGGTCATCTCCTACATGTACGTCTGGTCTTACCATGTGTAAACTCTGGTCCATGATCATCTCCTACATGTACGTCTGGTCTTACCATGTGTAAACTCTGGTCCATGATCATTTCCTACATGTACGTCTGGTCGTACCATGTGTAAACTCTGGTCCATGGTCATCTCCTACATGTACGTCTGGTCTTACCATGTGTAAACTCTGGTCCATGATCATTTCCTACATGTACGTCTGGGTCTGATCCTAGTGGCTGCAGTTTCCTCGGTTGAACCCGACCAATCAGAGAGCGGGGGAGGCGGGTGTTGTAGGTCGGTGTCGGTAACGTCAAGAATTTGTGCCGAATTTTCTGGTTGTAGTTTGTTGGAGAATGCGAAAGTGAAGTAGTCTGTTCTGGTTCAATCCAAATGTCAAGAAACTGAAGCCGGAGCAAGAGGAATGTTGTGGCTCTACCCACGGCTTCTTCCGCATTAAGGCCAACACTGTGGTGATGTCACTCGATACCAGAGCTTTGCCGCTTTAGTCTTTTCTTCAGTTGGTGGAGGATGTGGATATGTCTGATCAGCTAAACATTGACGGTACAGAAGACCTTTTTACTTTCTTTTTTTTAAAGCAACTGAGAGACAACCAGCAAAAACGTACTGATTTCTTGAGACTGTTGTAATAACAAGCTTAGTTTTAACCTAACCGCACAGAAAGTCTCATAAAAAGATCCAGAAGATAAGAAAAGGCAGCAGCATTATTATATAAACTTGATCGACTCAGAACTTTCCAGTGAATCTAAGAAACTTTTGACTTTTGGCTGGGAATGATGTGATGGCTTAATAGTACTGGGCCATAATTGATTGACTGCGGAACCTTCCGCAGTCAACCATTGGTTTTGTATTTCTTTATTCCGTCATTTTTTTTGACACGTTTCACAGCTTTCACATTTTCAACAATTTCCACAAGTTATACATCAAAACGTTCCACATGTTTGGGAGATTATTGCTATTACTTTTGGGACTTCAGCGATTTCCGGTTTTTCCGCAATCGGACAAAAATCTGCATTGAGAATTCTGCAATGCATTTTAATAGGCCCATGCATTTTAATAGGACTTCAGCTCTTTCAGACATTTCTACAGTTTCAATGATTCAACAGTTTCAAGGATTCAACAGTTTCAAGGATTTCAGCAGTTTCAAGATTTCAAGAGTTTCAAGGACTTCAACAGTTTCAAGGACTTCAGCAGTTTCAAGGACTTCAGCAGTTTCAAGGACTTCAGCAGTTTCAAGGACTTCAGTGTAATCATGCAACCTAATAGGGATTTTTCCATGTAAACCAGTATAATGCAACTTAATAGGGATTTTTCCATGTAAACCAGTATAATGCAACTTAATAGGGTTTTTTCATGTAAACCAGTATAATGCAACTTAATAGGGTTTTTTTTCATGTAAACCAGTATAATGCAACTTAATAGGTTTTTTTCATGTAAACCAGTATAATGCAACTTAATGGGGATTTTTCCATGTAAACCAGTATTATGCAACTTAATAGGGATTTTTCCATGTAAACCAGTATAATGCAACTTAATAGGGTTTTTTTCATGTTAACCAGTATAATGCAACTTAATAGGGTTTTTTTCATGTAAACCAGTATAATGCAACTTAATAGGGTTTTTTCATGTATAATGCAACCTAATAGGTTGCATTATACCACCAGACCAAGACCCAAACGAAGACTCAGACCACCACCAGATAATGACCACAGACCAGGTTTCCTTAGTTACAGGAACCAAATTGTTTCAGCGGTGAGGGGATTTTTCAGTTTCAAGGACACTTTCAATACATTCAGTAGTTTCAAGGATTTCAGCTGTTTAAGAATTTAACCAGTTTCAAGGATATCAGGAGGTTCAAGGATTTCAGGAGTTTCCACACTTTCAACAGTTTCCAGGTTTAAAAAAGTTTCAAGGATTTCAGGAGTTTCAATGTTTCAACAGTTTCAAGGATTTCAGGAGTTTAAAGGTTTCAACAATTTCAAGGACTTCAGGAGTTTCAAAAATCTATCAAGTATTTTAACAGTTTCAAGGCTTTTTAAAGGATTTCAAGGATTTTTTTTAGCAGATTTCCACATTAGATCTGTTCCGCAGTCAATCGCAATGGCTTCAGCCATTGCAAGTTTCTAGTTGATTGACTGCGGAACCTTCCGCAGTCAACCATTGGTTTTGTATTTCTTTATTCCGTCATTTTTTTTGACACGTTTCACAGCTTTCACATTTTCAACAATTTCCACAAGTTATACATCAAAACGTTCCACATGTTTGGGAGATTATTGCTATTACTTTTGGGACTTCAGCGATTTCCGGTTTTTTCCGCAATCGGACAAAAATCTGCATTGAGAATTCTGCAATGCATTTTAATAGGCCCATGCATTTTAATAGGACTTCAGCTCTTTCAGACATTTCTACAGTTTCAATGATTCAACAGTTTCAAGGATTCAACAGTTTCAAGGATTTCAGCAGTTTCAAGATTTCAAGAGTTTCAAGGACTTCAACAGTTTCAAGGACTTCAGCAGTTTCAAGGACTTCAGCAGTTTCAAGGACTTCAGCAGTTTCAAGGACTTCAGTGTAATCATGCAACCTAATAGGGATTTTTCCATGTAAACCAGTATAATGCAACTTAATAGGGATTTTTCCATGTAAACCAGTATAATGCAACTTAATAGGGTTTTTTCATGTAAACCAGTATAATGCAACTTAATAGGGTTTTTTTTCATGTAAACCAGTATAATGCAACTTAATGGGGATTTTTCCATGTAAACCAGTATAATGCAACTTAATAGGGGTTTTTACATGTAAACCAGTATAATGCAACTTAATAGGGTTTTTTTCCATGTAAACCAGTATAATGCAACTTAATAGGGTTTTTTCCATGTAAACCAGTACAATGCAACTTAATAGGGATTTTTCCATGTAAACCAGTATAATGCAACTTAATGGGGATTTTTCCATGTAAACCAGTATAATGCAACTTAATGGGGATTTTTCCATGTAAACCAGTATTATGCAACTTAATAGGGATTTTTCCATGTAAACCAGTATAATGCAACTTAATAGGGATTTTTCCATGTAAACCAGTATAATGCAACTTAATGGGGATTTTTCCATGTAAACCAGTATTATGCAACTTAATAGGGATTTTTCCATGTAAACCAGTATAATGCAACTTAATAGGGTTTTTTTCATGTAAACCAGTATAATGCAACTTAATAGGGTTTTTACATGTAAACCAGTATAATGGAACTTAATAGGGGTTTTTACATGTAAACCAGTATAATGGAACTTAATAGGGGTTTTTACATGTAAACCAGTATAATGCAACTTAATAGGGATTTTTACATGTAAACCACTATAATGTAACCTAATAGGGGTTTTTACATGTAAACCAGTATAAAGCAACTTAATAGGGATTTGTACATGTAAACCAGTATAATGCAACCTAATAGGGATTTTTCCATGTAAACCAGTATAATGCAACTTAATAGGGATTTTTCCATGTAAACCAGTATAATGCAACTTAATAGGGATTTTTCCATGTAAACCAGTATAATGCAACTTAATAGGGTTTTTTCATGTAAACCAGTATAATGCAACTTAATAGGGATTTTTTCCATGTAAACCAGTATAATGCAACTTAATAGGGTTTTTACATGTAAACCAGTATAATGCAACTTAATAGGGGTTTTTCCATGTAAACCAGTATAATGCAACTTAATAGGGTTTTTTTCATGTAAACCAGTATAATGCAACTTAATGGGGATTTTTCCATGTAAACCAGTATTATGCAACTTAATAGGGATTTTTCCATGTAAACCAGTATAATGCAACTTAATAGGGTTTTTTTCATGTTAACCAGTATAATGCAACTTAATAGGGTTTTTTTCATGTAAACCAGTATAATGCAACTTAATAGGGTTTTTTCATGTATAATGCAACCTAATAGGTTGCATTATACCACCAGACCAAGACCCAAACGAAGACTCAGACCACCACCAGATAATGACCACAGACCAGGTTTCCTTAGTTACAGGAACCAAATTGTTTCAGCGGTGAGGGGATTTTTCAGTTTCAAGGACACTTTCAATACATTCAGTAGTTTCAAGGATTTCAGCTGTTTAAGAATTTAACCAGTTTCAAGGATATCAGGAGGTTCAAGGATTTCAGGAGTTTCCACACTTTCAACAGTTTCCAGGTTTAAAAAAGTTTCAAGGATTTCAGGAGTTTCAATGTTTCAACAGTTTCAAGGATTTCAGGAGTTTAAAGGTTTCAACAATTTCAAGGACTTCAGGAGTTTCAAATATCTATCAAGTATTTTAACAGTTTCAAGGCTTTTTAAAGGATTTCAAGGATTTTTTTTAGCAGATTTCCACATTAGATCTGTTCCGCAGTCAATCGCAATGGCTTCAGCCATTGCAAGTTTCTAGTTTCAATATTATTGATTGACTGCGGAACCTTCCGCAGTCAACCATTGGT